GTTCCGCTTGATCATGTAATTTCTCTTAATTTAGTTTATGACTTTTAAGAGTGTTTGACACGGATTGCGTGTACCTGTGCTTTGCTCTGTTCTGTGTTGTGTAGCGGTGACGCTGAGTCTGGCTTGGTATGTCGCAGGACGATATTTGGACGAGGAGGACGGCCGTTTTATAGATCGTCGCTTTACCAGTATTTCCAAGTTTTATGGTCGGAATGACGAAAAAAGGTATAACGATTCTGGAACCTCTCAATTTTATGTAAATTTCGTCTGTAAAATGCAGATATAAAATGTAAGATGCAAAATATAAGTTTCAGATTACTTTCCGGCAGAATCGGTTTTGTAGCGAAAGCCGATGCGAAATTTAAATAAAATACCTATTAGATATTAATAAATTGCACAACTTTTGTTCATAGATTGTAAATGTGATCCAAAGTTTTAATGCGGGCTGAAGCCATTAGTTGAAATCTGAATGTTCATTGATTTCCTGTTTATCTCTGTTACGTTTAAAAGTTGAATCTATTAGCTTGTGCAACGATCGTTGTTATAAGCATAAATTTCATGTGTGTGAAGTGAGGCATTGCAGTTTTCAAGGCTTAATTCATATAAGGGTTATCGGTCAGCTCTGGATCAATTTTTGGACCACAGGAAATAAAATTGAATCAATGAAAAGGCCCGAACAATTCGTACATTTTTTACAGTTCTTGACCAGAGGGTTGTAGATTACGAATTCATGCATATTTTGAAATTGTATCTAGTTCTTGACCTTTGTCTTATCACAGGTATAGAAGGTGATATTAATGGTCTTCACTTCCTGATCCATAGTTCAAGCAACAGTTAAAATGCATTGTGTAAAATCCTTTATTTACGGACGCATTTTGACTCCTCGTACCAACTTCATCACCAATAATAATATACAAATTTTCAGATCAGTTTGATTATATTTCCAAGACCACAAATGATTAAAGAAGAAATTGTGAGAAAGCTGCATCGCTTTCGTTACAGTTTTGTTTTGGTTGTAT